GTGTTGACTTTTCTGACCATGAGAAAATGGAAATCCCCTAAGCACTAAAAATAGTGCCAACCAACTAATAGCATTCCAATACATGCATTAGCATTTTAGTAGCTATTGCATCATCAGTAATATAACTCTTGCTTTCAGGAAATGTCTGTCTGTGCATGCAAGCTAAAACAGCTGAAAGTGACATTTATTTTTTGCTTTCATTAGACAGACATGTTCCAAGAGCTTTCAATGGCTCTTTGTCTTCGGATCCTTTTGGATGTTTCTAAAGGTTTAGCTCATCTCCATGCCATTCCGCTGCCTCATGGAGCCCTGAAAGCCACTAATGTTCTTCTCGACCAACAGTACCGTGCCAAGGTATTGCCAGGCGTAGCCCCCAAAATTCCCTTGAACTAGAAACATGCTTTTTTGTGCAGTTGCTTAACTATTTTTCTTACTTTTATGTGTGTTGCATTGTAGTTGTGTGACTGGGGTCAAGAGATAGACATGCACTTGACCACCTCTGATGGCCGTGGGCCATGTTACAGAGATCTGGCCTATGTGTCGCCTGAAGTCATACAAGGCGCTGTTCCTTCTGTGGAAGCTGACATATATAGGTGAGGTGCATTATCTCAACATTTTAGAGTGTTTCAATTGTATATTAGAGTGAAATTGTGGAGTTAATTTGAGCTTTTTAATGATTTTCAGTTGTGGGGTTCTTTTGTGGGAAACGTTGAATAGAAAGCGTCCGTGTGAAGGTATGTTGCCATCTATTCAATGAATCAGTGTAATCTAATTGTCTTATTCAGTGAGAAAGATTTTTCATTCCTACATTTGCCTGAAGACATTGGTTTTCTTACAGGTATTGATCAGCTTCAGACCAAATTGGGGCTTGGTTTGGAGGTTGACCTTCTGCCACCAATGACGCCTCAAAGCCATGCCCTCACCCAGCTCACCATTAGATGCTTGAACAGTGAACCTCAAAAACGACCATCAGCCAAGGGTTAGTTATGGAATTGTTATGGATCTTAGAGATCATGTTATATAATCACTAATTATTTTCTGCTCATACAGAGTGTGTAGAGGTTCTAAGGACAACTTTGGCAGTGTTTGAGCCACAGATTTTCACTGAAGCTGTTCATCTGAAAACATGCAAGGTACTTGTCTAATGATTAATGAGCCGAATAATAGGATATTTTATAAATTGGGGTCCAAATTTCATACTACTGTACAAACATAAGATTTTTTTCATTAAAATCTGGAAATGAAGGAAACATTAAAAGTTAAGAATAAAAAGAAATATTTAAGATTTTCTGGTCACTAATCCAATACGCAGAGTATTTAATCATTATATAAACTGTTCAAAAGGTCAGATGTTCTTGCTTCCATTGAAGAACAAGATGCTTTTTGGATCATTCTTAAAATCATTCTTAGATCATCAGGTTTTACACAAACTTGTGAAGTTCATGCAACTCGAGTGCTGATTTTTGCAAAATGAAGACAATCCACAAACCAATACTGTTCATTTTTCACATCAACTTTTGACTTACGTTATGCTGATAATAAAATGTGTAATGCAAAAAGTATGAAATTATAAAAAATCAGTAGAAGCATTTTCACTAGTGAACATGGACTCCATATTATGTGGATTTTTTTTTTATTGAAATTAATTTGAATACAGATGTGAAGAATTTGATGGTTGACCTGATGTTTGTCTGTTTCACCAGGAGAGGAGGCTGCCGAGCTGTAAAATGCGCTCATCTTGGGAGTTGCCTATTGAGCTACATAACCTAGAGGTAAGACAGCTGGTACATTTATTTTGAGCAGGTTTTACTTTTGTGTTGAAATGTTGTCTCATTTTTATATCGTAATGTTAGTATTATTAAGCAGGAACTTAGTCCGATGCTGTATTTTGTATTGTGTGTGTTCATAATAAATAACGTTCAAAAATAAATCTTCTTAAAGCTTTTGGATTCTGACAGCCGACTGTCTTTTACCACCAACAGGTCAATAGTTGCAAAAGTACTACAAAAAATCTGACCTCCAAGGTGATTCCCCAGAATGAAACTCTGCCACAGTCTTCACTGAATGCAAAAGAAAAGGCCCCTCTGCCAATGGCAACAAGGGGTTGTCGTCAGATTGGATGTTGTAGGGGTTAGTGATCTCTCATTTAAAAGTATGTTGTTTACATTTTATCACTTCATTACTATAAATTGTCTTATAATTATGTTTTTCCCTGCTCATGTCTTTTATAGATACTGGCAAAAGTTCAGTCCAATCCAATAACTCCTGCAACGATCATGGTTTCACTCAGATTAATGGAAGTCCCAGAGTTCCCCAGAGACAGAGCTCTACATCTTTAAGGTTCCCATGTGTTTCCCCCACAACGATATTTCAGAATAACCCACAACACAACGCTGGCAACCAGGGTGAGAAATTAGTTCTGTCTCCAAAATGTCCTAACAGTATAAGTTTTTGAATCCCTCCAAAACTCTCTATTCCTGTCCTGCACATTTCCAACATATGAGTTCGGACCAAGAACATAAACATGCCATTGTTGCACACTTTAATCCATCTGGAAGAGCTTTGCTCTTTGTCAGTCTTAATTGACTGATGTATTTTAGGTAAACAAATCTGGAGGAGCTTTGTGTACATATCCTCCTGAATTTTGTCGTTTTTTATTTCATTACATTGGTTGGAGCATAAGAAACAAATGGAGAAAAACATTTTTGAAAAAATATATTTTATTCACATTTTATTATATGTCCTTTGTAGAGGACTAAGTTATTAAAAAAAAGTAAATAGACATGAAAAGACATGTATAGGCAAAAACAATGTTTTATTTCTTTCATTCACCAATCAGTTTTTAGGTTTCAGGCTGTTTTTAACCAAACTTTGTCCAAAGATGATTCTCAACTATGTTATGCAAGATATAACAGAATGATCTGATATACTATTTTACTTTATACAATATGTGCATACATGTCTATAAATTTGCATTCCCATTCTATACAATGTATCTATACATTGCAGCCAGAGCATGCTATTGTTGCACATAAAATATTAGAACAATGCAAAGAATACAAAACCATTAGAAACTCAGACGAGAATTCATCATCACACACCAAGAGATGCGTTAAAAACGGTGCCAGTTTTAGCGTTTTGTGATAAAGAATTGAGAATCATAAATCAAAATAATCATGGATAAAAATAAAATTAAAACAAGCATTTAATGACTACAAACGAAGGGAAAATAGAGGAGTAAATGTACAGATACATCACTTAAAATGTACACAAGTAAAAGTAAATGTACACAATTTTTGAACTACTCAAAAAAGTACAATTTCTGAAAAAAAACTACTTAATTACAGTAACGTGAGTAATAACATTTTTCTGAGATGTTTATGACAAACAATTTGAAAATTAGTCAGATTTAAATGATAATTACACAATATTATCATATTTAATCATGCTAAGTTTGATCGTTCTGTCAATATCAGTCCATTTTAAAGACCAAGGAGTGTTTATGATCAAACCTCCAAACATTTGATATCGCTAAAAAGCCCTGAATGTGCTCTGTACAGGACATCCAGACTTAACACTGTGGCATGTACGGTCTCAGAGAAATTCACTAAAATATAATGTCCTCTACAGAGGACAAAAGGGTCCCAAGAGGATATTGAGTACGTACTGTTGGCATAACTACCTGGACACAGCAAATGTATCAGTTCTTTGTGTTGGGACTTTACATGTGCGCAGTAAGCAGTTCTGTTGGACTGTGCTCACTCGCTTCCTGAATGACTGCCCCACTCATGCCTTATCTGTGTCCAGTGTGTTTCCTCCCCAGAGGGATTTTGTTTTTCTCAGAATTAGTCTTGTTTTGTTCATTGAAATGCAAGTAGTACAGAAGGTTTTGTCGCAGTGAAGTAACTGGCTAAGAGGGAAGGCAATTTTTTTTTTAAATGCATTATGGTTCAAACGTTCGGGATTAGTATTATTTTTAATGTTTTTGACTAAAATGCCCTTCTTCTATGCTCACCAAGGCTGCATTTATTTGATCAAAATACAGTAATACTGTGAAATATTATTACAATTCAAAATAACTGGTTTCTATTTCAATATATTTAAAAATGTAATTTATTTCTGTGAGCGGAGCGGAGTGGAGCTAGATTGATCAGATTTGCTTTGCTCACACATATAATAATAGAACAATATAAAAATGATGTATAAATATTGTCTTTGTGTTAGTTCCTAACTCTATGCTTACACTGTTATCATATACTCTGATCCTTCCTCTTTCTCTAGTTAAATGTCAGCTGTCTGCAGGAAGGAGCTGTTGCCGACTTCTGCAAGAAAGACGGGAGGTCATTGTTCGCTGCATGACTGAGGGGCGACTCAACAACCTACTTGATGTGTTGCGGGCTAGACAGGCTGTGACCCGTGAGATGTACGAGATCATCACTGCAGCCCTGACCTTGACCACACGCACGCGCTGTTTGCTTGATGTCTGTGCCTGCCTTGGTGAAAATGTTGCTATCTTGGTGGCCACAACTTTAGGTTTAGTATCCACCGAAAATACTCAGACCACACATAGGTGGCAGGCTGGATAAGTTAAGCCAACGTGCCGCTACTCTTATGCAATGGAAAAATGCAGTAACTGCACATGAAACAACTTATATCAGATTGATATAAGATTTGTATGGCACTGTAATGTGTTGGGATTGTTAGTGTGTTCTTGTTTGGACTACTCTGTTACAGATGAAGAGAGGTTAGACTCTCTGGAAGGGTATGCTGCAATGCAGCTTTAGTCTTGGATCTAAAGATCTCATCAGATTAACACCCATTATAAAGGGTGCTGATGATGTCATTGTTTCCCAGTTGACAAACTGAAGGGATTAGTTAAATGCCTTTGATGATGATGATGGATGTTCTGATGAATGGGCAAATATAGGTTTGATTACATTCCTTTGTGGAGAGAAAAAAAATCAACAGCACAAAAACAGATTATTTTGAAAAGAACCTTCATGAAAGGTAAGGCTGTTTCCCTTAATCATGCTTACTTAACAGTGTTTGCTGTGAACTTTCACTCTCAGTTAATACTGAGACTGTTGACTGAGAAGTTCACAGCCAAATATATCACATTCATCTGATAGACTCATCAAATATTTTTACATTTTTCTTACTATAACCACATTTATCTTGCATGTAATACACATTTCCAAGGATGTAAGTTTTTTGTTTTTTTTCGACTTACAATTGTGCATGTTGCACAACAGACTCAGTAGTTTCTGATTGTAGTGTATCTTGCAACAAGACATTCTTTTTTTCTTCCCTATGTACAGTTTGTAGCATGGCATGTATAAAGCAAAATAAATACATAAATATTAAAAATGAATGTATGGACAAAATAAACATTGTATAAGAAATGTCATTAAATGTTCACACTGGTAATACGTTTTATAATATATATATACTGTTGTGTCTTTACCACATAACAGTATGTGTATTTAACAGTATGTGTACCTTCAGCATTTGACCTGAGCTCTTACGTAAGATCCACTTCTTGAAGAACAGCTATTACTTGGTATTACTAAGGTGAATACCATGCCACATACCTCCTCATAGACTGTCTGATTGCATGGATGATCTTTACACTGGTTAGTTTTAAAGGGCATGAATGGTCCTTGCCATAGGGGCCTTTACTCACATTGCAATGAAATGTCTTTGACTTGAAAATTCAAGTTGCTTCAGCAGCGTCTTAGGAATGTGACATATTATTCTTACTATATTGTAGAGAACCTTTTTTCATTTGTTTATTTATTAAGAATAATAATTATAAATATCATTATATTTAAAGCACAAGAGCATCAATCAAAAGCTTGACAGGTTCCCACAAAAAAGTCGCTCAGCTCATTCAAAGTCAAAACTAAAATGATGTCATTGAGTTTCCAAGGCAACAATAGTGGACTGCCCTTTACCACTGTATACTGATGTATCATGAGTGCAGATGTTTTTGTGAATGTTGCAGTTCTGGGAAACATCTTCTAGGATGGGAAACAAGCCTAATTAGTATAAATATGACAGTTATTATAAATAAAGCTCCAAACTCATAAAAAGACAAAATATATATATATTTTTTTATTATTATTTATTATTATTATTTTAATTAATACTTCTTTCAAATACTGAAATACAATTAACTAACTAACTAAATAAAATAAAATGGCTAAAAAATAAACTATACAATATACAATATAATAAAATATACACAATAAAATATATAAAACATTTCTGGGTTGAATTTCTAGAAATAAAATAAAATAAAAATGCTATCTTCTGAAACAATAAAATCATTTTAGATTTAATAGATATTTAATGCTCATTTATTTGCAAAATGATTTTTTTCTTCTCATAATTAGTATAAATATGACAGTTATTATAAATAAAGCTCCAAACTCATAAAAAGACAAAATATATATATTTTTTTTATTACACCATTACACAATGCAGGGCCATTTAAAATGAACTAGTGAAGGTAAAAATTTTATTAAAAGAATTGGTAACCAGTTGCAGGACCTATTTCTTACCTTGTACCATTCACAATCCGTTCACAATTTGGAGTCAGTGAAATTGTATTTTAAAAGAGAATAATACTTTTATTCAGCAAGGATGCATTAAATTGGGCAAAAGTGACAGTGAAGTCTTATAATGTTTAAAGATTTTTATTTCAAATAAATGCTGTTCTTTTGAATGTTCAATTCATCATAGAATCCTGAAAGAAAATTTTAGAAAATGTAAGAAAATATTAAGACTAGAATAATGGCTGCTGAATTTTCACACACACACACACATATATATTATATATATATATATATATACACACACACACACAGTAGGCCTTTTATTCTTTTCATCCCTTCCTCTGTAGCAAATCCTTATTCCTCTATTTAAAGCTAATCGCTTGACTTTGAACATATCAGATGTGAACCAGCGTTAATCAGAAACTACTTACATTACTTTTACTATTTTACTAATTACTTTTAAATCGGTCGCTTTCGGCTATAGGGCAACACCTGAATGGGTTTTCTGACAAAGAGGGTTGGTCAGTTGGTTTGATTTGCAAATAACCCACGTGACATCAATTTTACCGGTATCACGTGACCTTCTGGCAGCTTGCCCTCCGTGCTTCAGGGTTTTTTAAAGATGCTGCCCTGTCTGCTAATGTCACCAGTTAGACAGAGACGATAAACAAAGGGCACAACAAGGTAAGGACATGTTTCTTTTTTTAACGTTACGTTTAAAGAAGAATAATAAGAAGGACTGGGCTGGTTGTGGTAAATCGGCTAGAGCAGCTATCCTGTTATAATTCCATTTTAATGATTTTTTCTCATATATGCATGAACTGAATGTGTTCAATATGTTCATTACAAAGCGGAGCGGGGAAATATCTCCGTAAAAAAGACTCGGTGATCGTGTCTCAGATTCTGCTGCGCTCTACGTTAGAAAAACAGGATGTCGCTTCTCATCATCCAATCGATTACTAAATGCTTTAGGTTTATTCCAGTTCCAGTCATTCACTATGCCAGATATACTTTATGAACAATGGATTTATAAGAGCTATATTCTTTAGCCCATCGCTCCATGATCTTACCCACAGTAACGTTACAAGCTACACTTTTGTTGAACAGCTGATGGGCTTGCGGGGACAACCTCAGCGTTAAAGTCTCCTAATGTAGTTTCAGACACTTGTGCAGTTTTATTTGTTTATTTATTTTTGTGTCAGCCGATTACATGTAATATATATATCTTATTCTGTATAGAGCCCGACCTTTCTTTACTTTAACGAGACTGAAGTGCGTCTTGTCGTAACAAAGAGGGTTGCCAAATATGAACTTGTTTTGATCGCGGGGTGCCAAGTTGATTAGGTTGTTTTTGAGTGATTTTTAAAATCAGCTTTTGTTTCTTATTTTGTTTATAAGTCGCGTTTAGTTTTAATAAACAAAATAAGATCTAGGTATTAAAAAGAATACCTACATAAACAACGATTATCTAGCCTATTGTTAGGCTATGTGTTGACAAAATGAGAAAAATTTGAGAACAGTGCAAGATGATAAATGTAATTGTGTACTATTTTAAAAATGCTTAGTAAGGAATAACAAACAAACAATATTAAAAGGATGTATGTGAAACCACTCACTGTCATGGACCTTATTCAGATTATTTAATTAGACACGAATGACAATGAGGCTGTAAGGGCAGACAAACAGAACGGGTGTTGATCACTCAGCTGATGCAACATGGAAAATGCATCTTTCCAAAACATTTTTTTTCTCTTTCCGAAAGATCCCTTGAACAACACGCATTCATTCAAACACACACTACATTGTTTGTACTTCCATTTAAATATTTATCTGTATGGATTAAACATCTTATCTTGCACTTTTGTCAGTCTGTATCAAATAGATAAGAGCACACTAAGAAAAAAACACCAAGAGCATCAATCAAAAGCTTGACAGGTTCCCACAAAAAAGTCGCTCAGCTCATTCAAAGTCAAAACTAAAATGATGTCATTGAGTTTCCAAGGCAACAATAGTGGACTGCCCTTTACCACTGTATACTGATGTATCATGAGTGCAGATGTTTTTGTGAATGTTGCAGTTCTGGGAAACATCTTCTAGGATGGGAAACAAGCCTCAGGGAAGGAAAGCTCTCTGGGGAGAATTTGGGAACAATTTAATCAGTGCTTGTTTAACAATTGCACACTATATGTATTAATTTAAAATGATCTACCCTCTGTTTGAAAGACAAGCAAAGAGGACTGTTGGTTTTCAGACACGCTTAGTGTAATGAGTGTTTTACAAGGATGAATGTTAAAGTGAGTGGTTCAAGTCAAATAATCAGAGGAATGTGCTATCCGCTGTCCACAATAAGAGAGGTGGCTGCAGTGGACACGTCATGCTTAATCATTTATAGAGGGTCAACAAACAGCAAGTCCGAAGTAAATGTGTGATTTCCCTCATTTAGAAACCCATAATAGACCCTCACTGAGCTCAGGATTAAATGTATAGTTTAAATTTTTAGCTTCTGAGTGGGAGATGGGTTATGAACATGTTTGACCAAAGAAATACTTTCTTGTTTACGTAATCCCAATGATGCAATCTTCACACTAGCTTTTCGTCAGTTAACTACGGCACGTTTTGCATGTATGTAATCTACTTATCACACTGGCCTGTACTGACTTCTCACCATCACTAGACATTGGAGGCCAGATGTGACTTTTTAATTATGTGTGGGTAATTGCATGATCTCCAGTGTTATCTTGCAGTAGCAAATATGCACAAAATGTTTTGTCCCAAAATGAATATCCTGTCAATATTTAGTCGCCCTCGTGTCGTTCCTAACCTGCATGGCTTTCTTTCTGCAGTGGAACACAAAAGAGGACATTTTGAAGAATGTTTCTTAGAAGAACTGTTTTTGTCCATACATTGAGAGTCAGTGGGGTCCAAAACAACTCTGAACCCCATTTGTAGTGTTATTATTGTAATATTTTATTTATATACTGTTATAGTATTTAATATTTTGAATTAGTGTTTATATATTTTTATAAATTAGTGTTTATATATGTTGTCATTTATTTTGAATTAATATTTTATACTATTTTAATTTTAGTCTAACTTTGTTATTTTATCATTTTTATTATAATTATTTTTTAAATACTTCTATTTAGCTTTAGTTCATTAATTTCATCATTTTAATACTTCAACTTTTTTAGTTCTGTTAGCGCTCTTCCCCACCTGCGAGCCTCCATATTCTGCTTCTCGCCTTATTGCTGCTGCTTGTATTTGTGAGTAACGTGTACATGCTGTTGCTCTACACCCTTGTTTTTCCCATTCTTTAAATTTCTTGTCTATCTCACTTGATTTTTCTTTCTACACATTAAGGTCTAACTTTAAAAATGTCATGGGGTAGTTAATGACTAACTTGTTTTTGAGTACAGGGAGCCTGTTCCTCTGGTTCTGTGGTGCCTCTCCTCATATTCCTGTTTCACTTGGATACCTTCAGCAGCGTCATTAGACATGCCACTCTAAAAGAGGAAAACATTACAGTTGCCATGACTGCAATCAAACTTTTACTGCTCCCCACTAATCCATTCAAGTATTGATAGTTTTTTTTTAATTACTGTCTTTCGGTACAAATTACTGTTGTTGTCAAAAACACAGTCAGCATTCCATTGTAGTCATTCGCTTTAAGGCTGGAATGCATTGCATCACTTTTAAAATCGGAGCATGTTTTAAAACACTAGGCATCATACACTTGCAGACTTTGTAAATGGCTACAGAGAAAAACTGAGCATCATACGCTGAAAGTCTGAGGATCACACACTACTAGACTTTGTAATTCGGAAAACAAAAAATTAATAGAGAAACGTGCACCTCTTTTCTAGGAGACGCACATCAAAGTAAATCAATGTGATCTTAATATGGCTCAAAATATCAAACATGTTTGATCTCCGACTGGATGGAATCATAGTCTAAAGCTAAAAAACAGGAGTCTGTGCTCACCATACTTGAAATCTGTCAACTCCGACTGCTTAAAATCTGCAGACTGACTTTCAGCAACTAGTGTTGACTCGTCCAGACTGCAAATCGGGGCACAAATCTGTGCAAAACTGTGTAGAGTATTCCTGCCTTAACTTGTCGGAGTACTTGCCAACATATATATTTTTTTCTTATGCTAACATGCTTACTATTCATGATATTGCAGGCCTGCTCACCTTTATTAATTCCGCTTATGTCAAGTGGGGTACCAGGGTGCAGGATGTCTTCACTTATGCCAAAGTGCTGACCCTCATCGTCATTATCATCACAGGGCTAGTGAAACTGTGCCAAGGTAAAAAATGCACTTGGGATTTTTAAGATGTTTTTGCAAATGTTTTGCTTGTTTGTGTCCAGGCCAAATGTTGCTCTCTCATGAGTTCTGAATCATTTTACAGGGATAGACACTCAAAAATGAAAATTCCCTCATTATTTATTCACCCTCATGTCACTACAATCCTGTCCTGTATGACTGATTTTATTTTTTTTATATTCTGCAGAAGAAAAAAAATCATACAGGCTTGAAATTACGTAAAGAATTTTGACAGAATTATAACATTTGGGGTGAACTATCCCTTTAAGGCTTGAATTATGGTTTCTCTCATTAGCTATTTTAAAAATTTTATTTCCTTAGTTTATTTAACAGGGACAGTGCATACTAATAAGCATAACTGTAAATGTGCAAGAATTAGCCTAAAGGCCATTTTTCTTTTGTAGTCGCTGAGCAGAATGTACAAACATCAATTATGCAAGAGTATGTTAGATATGTAAATCCATCTAACAAGAAGAAAACCACAATACAACATGCATTCCCACACATACTGATCTTGAAAAGTTGTTAACCGTTACAGTACTTTTGTAATGTTTCTCACACAGGTTTCTCAATGAACTTTGAGGATTCTTTCCAAGGCTCGTCTCGCGACCCAGGAGATATTGCTTTGGCCTTGTACTCGGCTCTTTTCTCGTACTCAGGCTGGGACACTCTTAACTTTGTCACAGAAGAGATTAAGGACCCTGAAAGGTACTTCTTTGAGACCAACTTGATCCTCAGTTCCTGTTCCTGTTGTGAAGATACAGTATGTAAAAATAGGTACTCGTATGATAGCTAACACATCTGTCCATGCATGTCCCAGGAACCTTCCTCTCTCCATTGCAATCTCCATGCCGATTGTTACGATCATCTACATCCTCACAAACGTGGCCTATTATGCTGTGCTGGACATGAGTGCCATCCTCGCCAGTGATGCTGTCGCTGTGGTGAGTTCATAGTCTTCTGTGCTGTCATAATGTTTGTAGAGTCTGTAGTGTAACGGCTAATGTTTCCTAATCGTCCCACAGACGTTTGCAGACCACACTCTGGGAGTGATGAGTTGGAGCATCCCTATTGCGGTTGCTTTATCCTGTTACGGAGGTCTAAATGCTTCCATCATTGCTGCATCCAGGTCAGTCTGAAGCTTGATGTCTACATAGCATCACAGAACACTAGCTTTAGTCTTTTCTCTCATTTTCCTGTCTATAGAGACCAATTTGGAGCTGTGTTGGTATTATGCGTTTTGAAAATGGCCATCTACAGTTGCTCTGGCTTTACGGTTTTATTATTCCACTTGAACCTCTGCTTTGTTCCTCAAGTTTATTCTTAATGACTGGTGTTAACCTCCAGGAGGAGGAACGAAGCTTAGTTCAGCTCCTGTGGTTTTTATAGGGAGCTACTCTATTGCTCACACCATCTGGAGCTGCTTTGTGGTAATGACCGTGTCGGGGTTCACGCTACTATTCCATGTGTCAGATAATGTGGTGTGCTGAGGATTTTTGGGAGTGATGAGAACCTACATCCAGTGCTGATGGGAATTCAGAAGATCTGAGAACTTAAATTCCTGTTTATACTTACTGCACTTGTTTGTTCATGTGTTTTATGTATGATATAAAAGTATATGTAGGCAATTTTCAAATACAATTGATTTTAAGGTCAACAATGTGTAAACATGAGTATGAAACTCATTTTCATACAATCTTGATGTTTTGTATCTTTTGTCTTTTTTTTTCATGCATTTATGCATTTGGTTTGCTTAATTGATTTGAATTCTCAGTACTTTTGATTAAATGCAGTGTTATTTTAATATCATTGATATACTATTGTAGATTTTATTATATTTCAAATTAGTTGTATTGTTTTCATTTAATTTGAAAGTTTTAGTAGTTTTGTGTTTTTTGTCATTTTTTATTAGTTTTTATTAATGTCTGTACTGAAATATGTATTTATTTCAGTTTTACTTATTTTAGTACATCAAGTTAAACTAAATTTAAAATTAAACGTTGCCTTGGCAACTAGCTGAAAAAAAAAAAAAAACGTTACAATTTTGTATTTTTTTTTTTTTTTTTTTCAGTTAGAGTTTATTTCAAGTAACAATTTTTTTTAATGGTTTTAATTAACTATAATAATCCTGATTAGGTGCACTAACAGATGATGCATATACATTTGAAGAAACAGTGAGTCTCTTGCTGCTGCAGGTTGTTCTTCGTGGGAGCTCGAGAAGGTCATCTTCCAGATGCTTTGTCTATGATTCACGTGGAGAGATTCACACCGGTTCCAGCTCTGCTATTCAATGCAAGTGCATTTCAGTTACAATTAACACCAATTGCATCATAACATAATTTTTTTTTTTTTGCCAATATGATTTCCTGACTTTTGCTCCCTTTTAAAAAAATTTTTTTTAATTAATAGACGAATATTATAGTAATACCAATATTATAATAATATTAAATATATATGTATTTATACATTTTTAAAGTTCCTCTTATGTACTACATTTAGCTTTCGAGACATAGATGCAATTGTAGAGTGCCTCAGTCTGGGACATTTAATGTTTTCTGTCTCCATCTAGTGGACCAAGTCACTTAGATTGTGCTTTCTGTCTGCAGTGTGCCATGGCTCTGATCTACCTTACAGTGGAGGATGTTTTCCAGCTGATTAACTATTACAGCTTCAGTTACTGGTTTTTCGTTGGCCTATCTATTGCCGGGCAGATCTACCTTCGCTGGAAAGAGCCGGACAGGCCCCGACCACTGAAGGTGAGGAAGTAGAGACTGTTCAGATGAAATAAAAATGTTTAAATAATAACATGCAAAAGTATGTGTGATCAATTACTGTGTATTTTGAACACATAAACCCATTACAAACGGCTATACTGTTATATTCACTACGGTTCAACAGTTTGAGGTTTGTACATTTAAAAAAAATATACTTTTTATTTAGCATTAAGACTTTTATTCAGTGAAGACATTCAATTAATCAAAAGTGACTAAAGACATTTACATTGTTACAAAATTTATTTCTGTTTCAAATAAATGCTGTTTTTTTTAAACTTAGTTGATGATAAAAGAATCCATGAAAAAGTGTGTATCATGGGTTCTACAAAAATAATTCCGCTGCACAACTATTTTTAAAAAAATTGATAAGAATTGTTTTTGAACACCAAATCAGCAAATTAGAATTATTTCTGAAGAATCATGTGACACTGAAGACTGCCGTAATGGATGCTGAAAATTCAGCTTTATATTACTGTGTATTTTGAACACCTAAACCCATTACAAACGGCTATACTGTTATATTCACTACGGTTCAACAGTTTGAGGTTTGTACATTTTAAAAAAATATACTTTTTATTTAGCATTAAGACTTTTATTCAGTGAAGACATTCAATTAATCAAAAGTGACTAAAGACATTTACATTGTTACAAAATTTATTTCTGTTTCAAATAAATGCTGTTTTTTTTAAACTTAGTTGATGATAAAAGAATCCATGAAAAAGTGTGTATCATGGGTTCTACAAAAATAATTCCGCTGCACAACTATTTTTAAAAAAATTGATAAGAATTGTTTTTGAACACCAAATCAGCAAATTAGAATTATTTCTGAAGAATCATGTGACACTGAAGACTGCCGTAATGGATGCTGAAAATTCAGCTTTATATTTTAAAAATGTATTCAAACCGAAATCAGTTATTTTAAATTGTAATAATATTTCATCATATTACTGTTTTTACAGTATTTTTTTTTTTGATCAAATAAATGCAGCCTTGGTGAACAATATGAGACTTATTACTGACCCCAAACCTTTGAATGTTAGTGTAAATAACTGGTTAGTTTGGACTGGTTCAGAATCTTGAAATAATATCATTCAGAAGGGGAAATTGAAACGACAGATTTCAGACAAGCTTTCTAGATTTGAGTTTCCACCTTAATATCAGGTGCAATTTTGTGACACTGCATGTGAATTAATGTTGCTTTCCTCTCTTCTTTGTGCATATAGTTGAGTCTACTGTATCCCATCATCTTCTGCATCTGTGTTGTGTTCCTGGTGGCTGTGCCACTTTATTCTGACACGCTCAACTCATTCATTGGAATTGCTATTGCCCTCTCTGGAGTGCCTGTTTACTTCTTGGGTATCTATGTTCCAGAGTCCAAGCGGCCACCCATCATCACTAAACTGTTATGTAAGTACCACAGCCTTTAGCAGTGAAACTTTCATTTGTCCTTTCATTACACTGATTTACAACCAAAACGACAGCAACTGATGCTTTTTAACGCGTGTGTGTATCTCCCTTACACAGGTGCCATCACCCGTTTCACCCAGTTCACCTGCTTTTGTGTGCTCACTGAGTTAGACACTGTTGATTAGAACACTTGCACCCGTTTGACACAAACCCACTGGTTCAGGGAGAGGAAACCAATATCTGGAGAAACGGGAAAAAGATCTTCCACACTTTTAAAGACACAGATGCACTCTTAATGTCACTGCGTTGGATTCTTCTTTTTCTTAATTATAAAAGGGTTCTGTTAAGGTAATGGTGCAATGAGTATTAGAAATATGACCTTAAGAACCATATGGCATGAAAAAAAAAAGCCCATTTTAAAGCTTTTAAAGGCACTGAGTGCTCATGAACCAAACACCATCTGTATTCCTTTCAGAGAAATGAGTACATAAACAGGATGCAGTGGTTGTGTGTATGCCATTATGAAGAACATGGCCAAGAATTAGATTTATGTAACATTTTTGTTACATAACTCCCTTTTTTTTAATCTAACAGGGTTTTATTTTAGAATCTGGTTTTTAAATTGTCTGTCAATTTATTTATGTACTTTAAGTGAAGGAGATTTTATTTTATTTATTATCTTCCTTATTGTGATTTACTTTGGCACAAATGTTTCAGTTCTCTTACAGTTTTTGGAGTGTTCCGTCTTGGCCAGAGGGTTCAAGTTTCAATTTATTTATATAGCACATATAAAACAGCCACACGGCTGACCAAAGTGCTGCACAGAGATTCAAAAATAGTAAAAAAATATATATATATATACAGTGGGGCAAATAAGTATTTGATACACTGCCGATTTTTCAAGTTTTCCCACTTACAAAGAATGGAAAGATCTGTAATTTTGTATGATTTTTAAATAATTAATTTCCATTTTATTGCATGAAATAAGTATTTGATACAACAGAAAAATGGAACTTAATATTTGGTACAGAAACCTTTGTTTACAATTACAGAGGTCAGATGTTTCCTGTAGTTCTTGACCAGGTTTGCACACACTGCAGCAGGGATTTTGGCCCACTCCTCCATACAGGTGTTCTCCAGATCTTTCAGGTTTTGGGGCTGTCGCTGGGCAACACGGAGTTTCAGCTCCCTCCATAGATTTTCTATTGGGTTCAGGTCTGGAGACTGGCTAGGCCACTCCAGGACCTTGAAATGCTTCTTACGGAGCCACTCCTTAGTTGCCCTGGCTGTGTGTTTGGGGTCATTGTCATGCTGGAAGACCCAGCCACGACCCATCTTCAATGCTCTTACTGAGGGAAGGAGGTTGTTGCCCAAAATCTCGCGATACATGGCCCCATCCATCCTCCCCTCAATACGGTGCAGTCGTCCTGTCCCCTTTGCAGAAAAGCACCCCCAAAGCATGATGAATCGGCAGTGTATCAAATACTTATTTGCCCCACTGTATATAAAAATCAGCACAACCAAACAATTAAAACAGGGTCTCGCCCTAATAATAAAAAAAGTAAATATAATAATAACACAAGAGAAACAAAGTATAAACCCTTAGAAGACTAAGCAAAGACCATAATAGAAAATTATTTATAAGCCAAAGAAAACATATGTTTTTAGGAGAGATTTAAAAGTGGACAGAGAAAAGGCAAGTCTAATCTCTAAAGGGAGGTTATTCCACAACTGCGGCCCAACCACCGAGAAAGGTCAGTCCTGTATAATTACCCACATGCCATAGCTGGTTTTTAGAGGGAAGGTGATTGTATGCATTTGAACATTCAAATCTGCTGCTATGCTTCTGTACATGTAGTGAAGCATCACGTTCGCTTGTGGAAAGAGTTACGAAAGAATAAAGATGAACAGGGTTCATACACATTTTTACCAATAAATTTCCATGAATTTTACATGACTTTTGAGACAATATTCATGACCTAATGTTCCATTATTTTACAAGTATACATGTAAAATAAGAATAAAAATCTGTTAAAATGGACCTCTATTATCTGTGTTCTTAACTTCAGTTTCAGAGATTTCAGTTTTAAACTTAAAAAAAATAAAAAAACCGTCCCAATGAAAACATATTACAATACTAAGTGTCATGAAAATTGCTCTTGAATCATTCAGTTTCCAGAAAATCATCTTTAAATGTCTGTTGGCCAAACAAGCAATACATTGTTACTGGTGAAAATCCCAGTAATCTCAGGATGGAAGTCCAGATGTGATTTAAACGGGTCATTCTGATAAACGTTTACCTTGTAGCATGAAACACACTGAACAGCTTTCCAACTATTGTCATTTATGTACAAGTGTTTCTATTAATTTATTTGAAAGAATATCAATAAAACTTTTTATATATATACACCAGACAAGAACTGTTTGAATAAGTAATTTACGAGATTTGCAGTTTAATTCTGAAGTCTTTATTTTTTTATACACATCTACATATTTACAGGTATTTTGTTTCTCACCCCTTAGATACGGGGAATGTACAAACACTACACACATAACTGACAGCACAAAGCACCCCACACTTACACAAACTCAAAATATCACCATTTTCTCTCCATACTATCTTCACATCAAACAAATCGCAAAATAACGCAAATAGTAAATCACTCGTCTCATTAACGCGCAAATCAAAGCATCCCACACAAGTACACGCACATGGGCTACCACACACATTCACTTTTGACAAAAGAACATACAGCTTCACTCAACACACATCAGTAAAAATGGCCTCTCTCATGCTCGTACCTACACACAGAGGCTCTCAGTCATAATCATTATACTCTCGTTCCTCCTCGTCTTCATTCTCATCTCGGTCATTCTCCAACTCCACCATCATGTCCCGCTGGCACTGATCCCAGCTCCTCCTGCTGTAAGAGTGCTCTTCACTCCAGCAACCTGGAGAGAAAAATACATTAGATGTATGACGATATTCAACCTGCGCATAAGGTCTGTGTTGAGGATGTAAACCAGGTCTTCAGAAAACAGAAGACTAGGAAAGCTTCAGGCCCAGGCAGTGTTTCATCTGCCTGTCCAAATCTCTGTGCTGACCATCTGGCCTCCATTTCAGGTCTTCAACAGATCTCTGGAACAGTGTGAAGTTCCTTGCTGCTTTAAACGCTCCACTATCATTCCGGTCCCCAAAAAACCCCAAATCACTGGACTTAATGATTACAGACCTGTGGCTGTCACGTCTGTGGTCATGAAGTCATTAGAGAGACTGGTCTTGGCCTACCTGAAGGACATCACTGGACCCTTGCTGGATCCTTTTCAGTTTGCCTACAGAGCAAACAGGTCTGTGGATGATGCAGTCAACATGAGACTGCATTACATCCTGCAACACTTCGACAGACCTGGGAATTATGCAAGGATCTTATCTGATCATGCCTGATCTTCTCTCAGCCAAACTGACCCAGCTCTCCATACCCACCTCCATCTGTCAGTGGATTACCAGCTTCCTGACAAACAGGCAGCAACTAGTGAGGTTGGGGGAACTCACTTCCAGGACCCTCACTATCAGCACTGGTGCCCCTCAGGGTTACGTTCTGTCCCCACTGCTCTTCTCCCTGTACACAAATGACTGCACCTCTAAAGACCCCTCTGTCAAGCTCCTGAAGTTTGCGGATGACACTACAGTCATCGGCCTCATCCAGGAATTGAGGAGTCTGCTTACAGACAAGAGTTTGAGCAGCTGGCTGTCTGGTGCAGTCTTAACAACCTGGAGCTTAACACGCTCAAAACTGAGGAGATGATCGTGGACTTCAGGAGAAAACCCTCTGCACTCCCCCCACTCACCATCATGAACAGCACTGTGGCTGCAGTGGAGTC